ACTATTTGCTACATGAGTCTCATTATAATTTCAACATACTTGATTTTAAAAGAATGCTAGCTACAGTATTTTTCACCATCATATTTCATATTATAAAATTAGGAAACTAACATTAATATATTCTCTTAGAAGAACACACAGGTATAGAGCTCACTGGATTCCAGTCTTCTGAAGCTAGCTATAGCACAACAAACAGCTTGGCAGTAACTAATAATGCCTGGCACGTCACATAAAGCCGCTGCTCATGTTTTTCTGTTCAGTTTGCTTATTAGACTTTCAACTACCATAGCTCAGGCTCAGAGGTGACCCAAGGAAAACTATGACCTCTCTTGCATGGTCCTCTGAGCGGGTGTTGGGACCCAGGTGACTTATCTTCTCTATAGGAAAAAGGTTCTAAACATAAGCTACCAAGAGCCATTCATTGGTTTCTACTTCAGGGAAGGGAACAAACTTATTTTTCATGCCCTGAAGTTTTGTATCACAAGCACAGGCAGCACATTCTGCAGTACACATGGTAGGAAAGCTGCACGTCTTGACTACTCTGAAGGAAAGCTGTCAAGAGCAGAATTAGCACCAGGACATACTGGAAGAAGGAAATACAAACCAGACTGGTACTTCTCAGCAGACCAGAATTTACAGTAGGGGAGGCCTATGAAAAAAGCATATTAATTAAATCAAAAAAAGGCAAAGGAGTAGCTCTGAAGGCAACACATTCCTCATAAAATACTAACCCTGTTTTTACTCTTAGATGTCGCCAGAGGATCACTACACAGAGAAGAAGACTGTTAAGAAAGGCAAAATAGAAATAAGCAAAAACAAAGAACCCATCTCACCATCTATGTAAGTAGAAAGCTTTAAGTCTATGGTTTTAGATTGTAATTCACTAGCAAATCCTGAGTGCTAAAGGTAGTTTAAAAACATGTGAAATGGGCTGGAGAGATGGCTCAGCAGTTAAGAACACTGACTGTTCTTGCAGAAGACCTGGGTTCGATTCCCAGCACCCACATGGCAGCTAACAACTGTCTGTTAACTCCAGTTCCAGGGGAAATCTGATGCCCTCTTCTGACCTCCGTGGCATTGCATGACACGGGTGCACTCACATGCATGCAGGCAATACACTCATACACATAAAATAAAAATAATATTTTAAAAATACATACTCAGATGATAAAGGAATAAATGATATAATCTAAGTGGTATGTGATGTTCACTATACAAATCTTTTAAACATTGTTCTGTCTGAAAATTTTCATTAAAAAATGGTACTTATAAGCCAGGTGTGGTGGTAGCTTAATCCCAGCACTCAGGAGGCAGAGGCAGGCCAATCTCTGTGAGATGGAAACCAGCCTGGTCTACATAGAGTCCAGGCCAGCTGGTGCTACAAGGAGACTCTGTCTCAAAAAGCAAAAAACAAACAAACAAAATGGTACCACATACAAACAAACATGGTGGGTTTCCAATTCTGTTTGAAGGCACACTCAACACGGACTATGTAAATTCAGTTACCAAAACTGGTATATACAAAGCCATTCACAGATTAGTTAAAGTAGTCAAAATGCAAAATGGGGAATCAGAAATGTGTTAAAAGTGGGTAACATATACAAGACCAAAAAACTTCAGACAAACCCGAAAGTAGTAGGTGGAGGCAGGTTTGCTATGTCTAAGACTGCTATAGTTTCTCTGATCAAAGTAGAGGCCACTCTGCAAAAGGCAAAATTAAGCAGAGTTTTCTTAGGTTAAATGTCTTTGACATAACTGTAAACCAAGACAAAATCCCAATACACAGGCAAAACCGGATATTGCCAGCATTCCTTCTTGCCCCAGAGCAGTGCCTTTAAAGCACTGGATCATATTAAAGGTCAAGAAACAATTATTTCAAATCTCTCCAAAAGATTGGTATTAAAGTTTAGTTATTTCAAACCAAATCATTACCAATTTTATTACTTTAAAAACAAAACAATAATCCCTTAAATAAAATGGAAATGATTGAGTTACTCTTATGCCATATTTAAGAATGTCCTTGAAAAACCTGAAAGAGCTGGACAATTACCCCTTTTATTATCTACTGGGTTTCAAACTTCTCCTAGTTCCATATCTGTCAAAATAAATGGGGGGGGGCACTAAACATAGTTCTAAATCATTTATGGTAGGTTCCTTTTCAATACATGACACTAAAACCACAATTTGTATAATGTGGTAACTTAAAGGTAAGAAATCGTCTATAAAAATTCCCTTTTTACTAGATGTTAAGCAAATGTATGAAATATCTTTTGGGGCTGGAGAGATGGTTCAGCAGTTAAGAGGCCTGGCTGCTCTTGCAGAGTACCCAGGTTTGATTCCCAGCACTGACATGACAGCTAACAACAGTCCATAACTCCACTTCCAGGGGATCCAACACCTTCTAACCTCTGTGGGCACCGCATAACACAGGTGCACTTACAATACATGCAGGCAATACACACATACACATAAAATAAGTTTTTAAAAAATTTAAAAATATTCTTTTGCACTGCTCCATTACACTTCGGGGGCCTTGCCCCTATGCCACCCACATTCCTCTTGGCACTGTCTTCAGTATCACTGCCACTCATACCCTCAGCAAGGCATTGTGCCTCACTTCCTGCAGAATTGCCAATGCCCCATCCTTCAAGGCCTCTCTGTAATATTCCCCTCAGTCACATTCTCCCTCCCTCTACCCTTCTACTAGCTAAACCCTTCCACTGCTCCCACAGGAACCCAAACTCAGCAAGGAGCTGGAGAGCATATTTCTGTTACGGCAGCATAAGGGAAAAGAGGTGATCCTAGCACCCCACCTGAACATTGCATACATTTATCTCCACAGAAATATGTGCCCAGGTGCTGGAATGGAAAGCACAATAGTTCTGCAGCTTAATTATATTATAAGTGAAAGAGTTTACTGTAATCTCCTATGGGAACTCTCCATTACACACATTACTGTTGCTATCAGAAAATGCATTCCAAGTTCTTAAAAACAGAGTTTCAGAATGAAAACTAGTTATCAGTTTGGTACTATCCCTAATACAACTATATCAATTCAAACTTTTAAAGTAGAACTAACCAGTGGGTCTTTATGAGAACCAGAAGATCTCTTCTTCATCCCATAAGAGTGGCTGTAAGAATGATTCTGAAAGTAAATATTGTAAGTTAACTCAAATGACTGCATTGTGAAATTTTGAAAATGAACCCTACTTTTAAATATATACACAGGTGTATCTGAGGTTGAGAGTCATGTTCATGTGGTCTACTCCCTGTCTTCTAGGACAGGATATGTGGACTCTACACACCATCCCCCCCAACTCTTTTTGTGCCCAGAGTCTAGCCTATTGTCTGGCCAGTTCAAGAAAACTTGATTAGACACAGAACCAGAAGGATGCTTGTGGGGACCTTCACTCTACATCTTAGGTCTCTTTTCTTTATAAAGCTATAGGTGCCAAGTGTGTCCACTTTCTGTAGTCCTATCTGAAGCAAAAGGCAATCCTTTGAATTCTTAAGACATGTATAGGGCTGGAGAGATGGCTCAGTGGTTAAGAGCACTGACTGCTCTTGCAGAGGACCCGGGTTCAATGCCCAGCACACACATGGCGGCAAACACCCATCCTTAACTCCAATTCCAGGGGACCTGATGCCTTCTTTAACTTCCATGGGCACTGCATGACACAGATACACTTACACACATGCAGGCAGTACACTCATACACATAAAATAAAATATTAATAAAAAAAGACATGCGTAAACCAAGTTAGTGGACCCACTGCATGTACTGCTCAGAAAGAAAACAGCTCAGTCAGTGTGTATCAAAACACTGTTAGAGGGGCTGGTGAGGTGGTTCAGTGAGAAAAGGTGCCTGCTGTCAAGCCTGATGATACCCGAGTTCAGTCCCAGGACCCACATGGTGGACAGAGAGAACCAACTTCTGAAAGTTGTCCTCTGAACACACATATACACCCCACACACACGCTGATTAAATGAATGTAAATTTTTAAAATAAAGGTTGTTGGAAACTTTTCTTCCAGTGCAGAGTATATGTTAGGTGGGTGTGGTTTATGACTTTAGAAAAAATACTACAACCCAACTTAATCTTGAATAGGGAAGCAATCAAGATTTTGTTTTTAATTTATTTAATAACCACATAATTAGAAGAAGCATTTCATTACAACAGCATTGACATTAAATAACAATTTCCAGAGCTAAGATGCATCTCTTTCAAAATTGGTTGTAAATGTTTAGGTTTACAGTTGAATTAATATAATACAGTTATACGATATTGTACTCAGTATATACCTTGTAAGACATAAAATTGAATGACATTTTAATCTTTAAAAAAGATCTCCAGCCCCTCGGTGGCCATGGCCTGGAGAGGCGGGAGAGGCAGAAACGGCTGCGGACTGTTGACTGTACTCCCGCGGCGCTCAGAGACGGCCCCGCTGGGTCCAAGCTGGCATCTGTCACCCCAACCCACACCGCCGGAACCAGGGGACACGCAGCTCGTGGGGCCGTTGGAGAGTGGCGTTCCCGGGCACGTGACAGACTAGGCGTCTTGGGACCAACTTAGTGCCTTTCTTGGGCACCAGGAGCACCGCTTCTGGACCTGGTCCCGCCCTCACCTCTCTCTGCTTCCCTGGACCTGCATTACCTGCTGACTCTCCTAGCCTGCACTCCTATCCTCAGGCCTCTTGAGGTAAGTCTACAGCGCAGCCCTCCGCGCCTTGACTCCCCCAGCCACATTCACCCTTCCATCTCCCCCGCTGTTCTCTACTCCTAGTTTGAGCCCTGCGCCATTCCTAGTCTTGGGTTCCCAGGCACCAGGGGAACCAATACTGCTTCCTGATCCTTTTCACCCAGACCAACTTACTGCCTTCCTTGGGCCCCAGGAGACCGCTTCTGGACCTGGCCCCGCCCTCACCTCCCTCTACTTCCCTGGTCCTCCAACACGCGCCAGCCTTTCTGGGGCTCCAAGGCTTACCTTTCTTCTCCCTGATCCTTTGCATCCAGACCCAGACCAGCCTTCCTTGGGCCCCAGGAGACCGCTTCTGGACCTGGCCCCGCCCTCACCTCCCTCTACTTCCCTGGTCCTCCAACACGCGCCAGCCTTTCTGGGGCTCCAAGGCTTACCTTTCTTCTCTCTTCTCCCTTGCATCCAGTACAACCCAGCTACTTAATCCACTCCCTGGGAAATCTTGGGGCTTATTCCCACCCCATCTGCCTTTGCATCCCTGTGTGGCACGGCCACGGCAAGGGTCTCGGGTCAGTCCAACACCCAAGTTCCTGAGGCCAAAATCATTCTTAGAAGAT